CCATCTCACTCCAGTAAGAATGGCAGCCATTATGAAGTCAAACAACAAGTGCTGTCGAGGATATGAGGAAAAAGGTACACTCATACATTGCTGGTGAGACTGCAAATTAGGTGCAGCCAATTTGGAAGGCAGTATGGAGATTCCTTGGAAAGCTGGAAATGGAACCACCATTTGACCCAGCTATTCCTCTTCTTGGACTATACCCAAAAGACCTAAAAACAGCCTACTACAGGGACACAGCCACATCAATGTTTACAGCAGTACAATTCACATTAGCTAGACTATGGAGCTAACCTAGATGCCCTTCAATGTATGAATGGATTAAAAAATGTGGCATATATACACAATGGAATATTACTCAGCACTAAAAATTAACAAGATCATGGCATTTGCAGGGAAATGGATGGCATTAGAGCAGATTATGCTAAGTGAAGTTAGCCAGTCCCTAAAAAACAAATGCTGAACATCTCTGATATAAGGGGGGTGACTCAAAATGGGGTAGGGAGGAAGAACATGAGAAGAAGATCATCACTACATAGGGAAGAGAGGTGGGAGAGAAAGGGAGAGAGAAGGGGAATTGCACGAAAGATAGGAGACCCTCATCATTATACAGAATACGTGTATAACGATGTGAGGAAAAAGAAAAACAAAAAGAAGTGTGTCACATTAGATTGGGTAGAGAGAAGTGATGGGAGAGGAGGGGAGGGGAAGGGGGGAATGGAAGGACAGCAGAATAAAATAGACATTATTATTGCTGTATGTATATACGTGACTGCATGACCAATGTGATTCTGCAACCTGTACACTCAGAAAAATGAGAAATTATATCCCATCTGATTCAAATGTATGATATGTCAAGATCATTGAACTGTCATGTGTAACTAATTAAAGCAAACAAAAAAGAATTATTTGCATAATAAAATCAATATTTCACATCGCAAAAACAAAAACAAAATAAAATAGACTATAAAAACAACATTCCAGTAATGTACAAAGAGGTGTCTTAAATTATGCCTACTTACATTAAAAGTTAACACCTCAAATACTGAGTGTGACTTCAGGTAAGTTACTTGACATCAGTTACATTCAGAGGCTGAGACCCTCTGGCATAGGGATATTATTTTCATGATAATTTGTTGCAAAATGCTTAGCCCAGTGCCTGGCATAAGGTAAAAACATTTAATGAATGTATTGTAATTTGCTAGGTAGGCTGCATATGGCCTGAAGTTTGTAAATTATTTTTTTACTTTCCTGGAACATTCCCTGTTCTTCCCAACTCATCCTCCCATTCTCTTTTCATGTTTTCTTTCTAATCTGATTATAAATTAAGAAATTAACTTCTACTCTACAGACTTTAAGAAATGGGTATAAAAATAGTTTCTAAGTGAAGGCCTGGAGACCTATACTTAGGACAAAAGTGCATGGATTTCTACATGTTGACTGCTTAGAAGCTTTCTTAATTCCTATATTCCCAGTTATGTTCCAAGTAACAGAGCTCTGACACATGAATGACCTCTGCATGTTGTTTCTATTATATCATAGTTAGGTATTGAAAAAAGTTGCCTCATTAGCTGCTATAGTTTGGATCTGGAATATCTCCCACAGGTGCATGTGTTAAAGGCTAGATCCTCACCTTGGTGCTTTTGGAAAGTGGTAGAACCCTTGATGTGGGGCCTACTGCAAGGTCTTTAGATCATTGAGTGTGTGTCCTGAAAGGGACCCTTGTGTCTTTCAATTTCTCTTTTACTTCCTAGACTTGAGGTGAACAACATTGTTCTGCCACTTGCTGCCCACAATGAGGTAGTTCCCTGAAACAGACCCCAAAGCAATAGAGCTAATCAATCATGGGCTAGAACTTCCAAAATTGTGAACCAAAATAAACATTTTATTAAGGTGATTATTTCAGTATTTTTATTACAATAACAAAGATAACACCTTAACTATTTCATTTACAGTGTTTAGTAATCCCTTAAATTTTAAAATGCTTTAAGAGCTCAATCTAATCAGCAGAACCTAGAATGTCCTTAATGAAAACATATCATAGTATTTGTAAATAAGCTTTGAGAAGTTATACTCAGATCTATGGATTTTAAGCACATAATATTTTTAATACTTATGAATAAGAGTTTTTAATAGTTAGACTTAAGGAAGACAAAATCTTTCAAAGGGAAAATGTCATTTTTTTAAAAAAATATTTTTATTAGTTGTTAATGAACCTTTATTTTATTTACTTATTTATATGTGGTGCTGAGAATCAAACCCAGTGCCTGACATATGCTAGGCAAGCACTCTACCACTGAGCCACAACCCCAGCCCAGAAAATGTCATTTTAAGTGTACCTTTTCCTAAACCTTTTTTTTTTTTTTTTTTTTAATGACAGGCACTGTTGGTTCTCTCCTTCTTCCATATTGGCAACCACCAACCACTACATCCTGGTTACATGACCATGCAGCAACATACATTTCCTAATTTCCTTTGGACCTAGGTATAGCTCTTGTGGCCAAGTTCTGGCCAATGAGTTTGTGTAATTTCCTTTCTCTTCATGCTGGAGCTATATTTGTGGCTTACCATTGGGTTATTACACAAGGGTGAAATAAATTTTTGTCTCAAGTCATTATTATTTTGGATGGCCCAATACAAAAACTTTATTTCAATAACACATTGAATAAACTGTCAAATATTTAAATTCAGTTGTCATTTTAAGGTTCCTGAAAGTTTCATTTTCAGCCATTCTGCACCGTGATAATACTTGTGTAATTCTTAACCAAGATTAGATGGAAAAAATCAACAATTTTAAAAACACAAGCTTGAGCAATAGTTTTTGCTCTATTAGGGCTGTACAATATTATTAAAATAACAGAAATAACAATGTGATGAATTGAGTCCCATCATCTGAAATAGCAGGCCAAGGTTTAGTTTCCCAGGGCTAAATCTCCCAGCATTCAGGTATTAGCCATGTGCAAATTTAGCCGTAGATAAAAGACATATTCTGTTATCAGAGGTCTTGGCACAATGGGTATTTGTTGACTCTGGACTGACCCTTGCAGACTCTCAAGCTCCAGAACCTTATGCCTGTGAATGATCTCAACTATTCCACAGGTGTATCACTGGATTACATGCAATATTAGGCCTTGCTTTTTTACCTAAAGAAATCTGTTTTGGTCTAGAGAAGTTAAAAAAAGGAAGCAATGTTTTTAGTTCAACTACAAACCTGCACTCATCTTTTTAGAAGCTCTTCCTTCAAAGGTGAAAATAGTCATGAGAATAATAATGTCAATAGCTATCTTTAAATCTTAACTTGATAGTATTATTACATTTCCTAAAATAAAGGCTGGGAAGGCAAATATTTACTTACACTGCAAGACAGTAGCATCTCCTCCATCAAATTATATGATCCATAATGGAGGGATGTTTATTGCTAATATTGCCAGTACTTAGGAAGGCTCTCAATGAATCTAGAATGTATGTGCCTTGGAATTTAACAGTTATGATTACTTATTTTTAGAAACTTTAGAAATTCTCCTTACATATAATAAATGAGTTTGTGGGTTCTTTAGTTATTTTAGATTTCTGTATGACAGAATGTATTTTGTTTGGTCTATAGTTAATAATTAAATTGACAATCTCAGGGCTGGGGTTGTGGCTCAGTGGCCGAGCACTTGCCTAGCATGTGTGAACACTGGATTTGATTCTCAGCACCACATATAAATAAATAAATGTCCATCAACAACTTAAAAAAAAAATATATATATATATATATACACACACACACACAATCTCATTTTTTACCAGAGGAATCCTAGAATGGAAGCCCACCTTTTCTGTCACTCCTTGTTTCGTTGTGGAAAACTCAAGTCTCTGCTCAGTTTTTTCTCAGTTGTAAAAGGAAGGAAATGCTTTCTATTGTGTGAAATTGTTTCCACACAACATAAAATCATCACTTTTTGACAAAAAAGTGATTTAATGTTATATAATCATGACCTTATATTTTAAGCAGTAAAAGGCTGAAAATACTATGCAAAAGCTTTTATTCTACATAATTAGCAAATAATTCTGAGAACTATTTCTTGGGGAAAATTTCAAATTTAGCCATTTTAATCAAATGAGAAACTTTATTTTTGAATATCTAATCACATAAGCAAGTCTCCCCAATTCCTCACTCTGAATAATTTTTCCAGTCAGGTATTAATGGCTCAGCTAAAGAAATAAAAGTATGAAATCCTAATACAGTATTTTGTACGTTTGACTGGAAATCATATATATTAAATTTAATTGTTCATATACAAAGGTTTTGGCCTTCAAAAATAGCAATTTTATATGGCACAAAATAAATGTATTTAGTATTAAATACCATGAATTAGAAATAATAATAGCCAAAGCCTCCCAGTTGTTCCTTCTATTCTTATCATTTCCTGCCTGTAGGGGTGTGGTGGGTGTTTCTTCTAAAATTTCACAATCTTGTGTGGCAGGAATTTGTGTCTCTCCTACATAGCAATTTGCAACTTATGGTTTAAATGACTATTTTTTTTTTGTTTTGTTAACTATTCTAAGAAGCTAATATGAAAAAATAAGTGTTTTATAGAGAATATACTGGAAATTCCTTAATGTTCCTGAATTATTTAACTCAGTGGTTCAAAAACTTTATAATGTTCATAATAATCTATAGAGAACTGGTTAAAACAGGTTTCTGGGCCCTAACCCCAGAGATTCTGATTCAGTAGGTGAGAGTGGAGCTTCTGAATTTCACTTTCTACCAGATTCAAAAATTATGTTTGGTTTCATACTTTGAGAACCTCTGAGCCTGGATCTAGAAGACTATTTGTAACCAGGCATTTTCTCTTTGGTCTTTCAGCAAATAAAACTAGAGCTTATGAGGTTTGAAGTAAATTTCCTTAAAGTCATTTTCTCGTTAAAGTAGTATACATTAGCTCAGTTTTAAGGTAATTAAAAATTCCATCTGTCTTGACTTAGTTGCTTCAGTCTACAACTCAGGATAACTCCGAGGAATTTGTTCACCTGTCCACTCTATAGAACGGCACTGTGTTCTGTCCTGCCAGTGGGGCAAGGGTCGCTCCAGCCTTACCCTTGGAGCTTTGGCCCTAGCGGCTTCACTTGCGTTATCAAAGGCAGAGCGTCCCACTTGACAAACAGCAGGAGGCTCTTGATAGAGAAGCGCGGGGGGTGCCAATCTAAGAGACCAAACCTGACATGCTGCGGTGAGTCCACTTACTGCCATCCTCCAGGGACCTTTCCTGAGCGCAGGGAGACCAGTCGAAGGGAAAGGCCACCCAGAAGCAGCGAAGTAGGCAGCGTCCCACCCACCAGAGATCTAGTAGGGAGCCAGTGCCCAAACCGCCGTCTCTGGGTAGTCTCTGGATTGCCGGCGCCCAGGAAACCACCCGCCAGAAGACCAACCCAGCACCGACTGGACAGGCAGCGCAGGCCAGGATTCAGGAGCGAGCTTGATCTCTCATCCCAGTCCCCTCCCTCCTTCTCCGGCTGTGAAGATGTCCGCCAAGCCCGAAGTCGGATTAGTGCGTGAAGCTTCTCGGCAGATCGTGGCCGGTGGTTCAGCTGGTAAGGCCGGGGCCCCGCTCTGCTCGGCTCAGCCGGAGACTAGTCCTTTGCCCCATCGCGTGCCCCGAAAACATTTCTCAGACAAGCTTCCCGGTCCAAGTTTTATCCTCTTTCTTAAAATTCTGCGCGGCCGGTTCAATACCTGAGCCCGCAGAGCACAAGGGCAAAGGAAGCCAGAGCTGGCTGAGAGTGCCGTGTGTCCTAGATAAAGTCGCCTCGGCACTGATGCCAGCAGCTCTTGGGTTCCTGGCCTTCTCTGTTCCTAGGCTGCAAGAGGCGGGCAGCACCAAGTCTTGTAATTTGAAAGAAGTCTTTTTTGCTTTGCTGGCTATTTTGTTCTGTTTTACTTAAGTTTGCTAGCACTTGTAGATTCTCTCCAAGGTAGCACAGATCATCAGAGTATTAGGTATGACTCCGCAGGGCTTCTTATTGCTTTCCGCAGGGCTGCTTATTGCTTACCATTCTTTCTTGGGAATATAATTGCGCCATAAATAGGCATATTAAAATTAAATGCATATTTTAACACACAAACAGTTGGTATAATGGAATTACAATTTATGGAGAGTTATGCTGTAGGAGAAAGAAGAAAAACCGTTAGCAAATGATATGTTATAACCATTCTTGGCAATAATTGTGTTAAATGTAGCTGGGGAAATTTACCATGAAATTATGCGCATGGATTTTAAAAAATATTTTAAAGTGTAATTGATTAATTTAGTCTATCATATAGTGGTGCGTTTTATTATAAATACATAACAAATAATTACCATAACAAATAAATACCACAATTTAATAAGTGTGATTATTCCTTTAATAAATTATGATGATACTAATAAATCATATTAAGACAAGGACAAGAAAATGTTTAATGTTGATTAGTAAAATTTACTATATTATAAAACAGATTTGGGCTGTTTATAAAGGACTACGACAAATTATGATCAGTATCATTATGTTGAATCTTAGGGGTACCACAAGCAACTAGATGTGTCACAATGTGTACACTTTTCTCAAGTTCATATCTCATTATTAATTATTAGTAACAATTGAGGCATTCATTTCTTATAGGTAATTTGTGGATTGTCCACCCATTATGATGTCAGTGACCGTACTGCCTACTTTTTAAGTTGTTTTCCAGTAGTGGTGATGAACTTGCACTGATTTATTCACAATTTTTGGTGGATTTCACAATGGCCACGGCTCTGCTAGCTCTACCTGACTCACTTTATTCCCAGTCTGTGACCTTGATCAAAGAAAACTCACTTGTCCCAGAGGGAAAGTGGAGCTAGTTGGTTAACATCTTAAGCTATGAACAGTGATTAATAAGCATCTGTATATTGGTGATTAATAAGCATCTGTATATTGGTTTAGATAATAATAATATGTATTAGGAACAGTTAAACTCAAAGGATGTTAAAAGTAGATAAAAATTTAATCCTATTTATGGTGTTTTGTTGAATAAGTATTTGGCATACATATAATGTATGATGCCATCATATAGTCTTATGATTGTAACTAGTATGAATGAAAATTAGGACATTTATAAGATAACTTTAAAATAGTAGAATGATTAATTTATATAGTTTTGTACTATGGGGTTTTTGATAAGTGATGAGAGTAATTTATACTTTCATCAGAGTGAAAAAGAGTACTTGGCCAAAAGCATTTTCATAAGACTTTATTGCAACTGTTATAAATGCAATAATCCTTTTGCATATACTAGATCAAGGGTCAGAAAAAATCAATATACAAGCATAATTTTAATAAAAAGAAGATGCATTTGAATTTCTAGCACAGGAATTCTGATTTCTGGTACTATCATCTCTCTGTGTATTATATGATCTTCTGGTTGTAAAGTTCAAAAATACATTGTAAGGGAATGTTCTCTTAAGAGAAAAAATATATAAACTGGGGAGGTTTATTGGAGAGCTAGCAGCATGTCTAATGACATTTAAGGTCCAGTGTGCATTTCTGAAGAGGAGAAGGAAGTAGATTCTCTTCAGCTCTTACTTCTTTTCTTTGTCAAATGGTCAAACATCCCCAAGGCAGCAGGTTGGTGGCTAATAATAGGGCCATAGTGTTACTACTACAGCTGTTAGGATGGCTTGGCATACTCCACACATTTGCCTGGTAAAGAAAACGTGCTCAAGTGGATTTAGTTCATTATAGCTGAAGTAAGTCATATTGTACCTAGTACTCCAGACAACACTGACCTGAAGAGGTCGGATGATAGACTATGAGTGACTGGCCCCTTGCTGTTGAGGACCTACCTCTGAACCACAGCTGAGTAGCTTTATAGATTTGTGATGAAGTCTACAGCTGTAACATAGATAGGGGTGAGATGGAAAGTCATGTGCTTCACTGAAACCAAGGAAATGGATGAGAAAGGCCTTGTAGCAGTCTTCCATTATATAATAGCCTTCCTTTAGGGAGAAAAAGCTGCCTTTCAGCAGCTAACAGGGCAGCTTGTCTTTGTTTCACTTGGAGAATTCATCACAGAGCATTCTGTCAAGACCAGATTAGGCTGTGATTGGGCCTTGCCATCCTGGCTTATATAGAGATATCCAAGGTTGTCAGGGTGTACACTTGACAAACAGGGAGATTTATTTCTCTGTGCCATCTTGGTATCCTGAGCATTGTTGTTTCTAGTAGTTAACTACTGTTTTCAGCTTTCAATGAGCTCTTCTATGTGGCAGAACCTGGTCTCCAACAGCTTTTAAATATCCATGCCTTTGACTTCTGTTCCCTGGTAAACATCAGAGACTGACTTGTTTTCTTTTAATTTTTGTCCAAAATCCCAAGGAAAGACTCAAAACAATCCAGAGTTGACAGGGTTCCACCTCTACATCAATCAATCAATGACTCTAATCAATCCCCATGTGAATGTGTGGTGCTGTTATGCCAGATTCATGGGACCCCAGTAGACCTCCAGGAGCCGAATCTGATGCAATCACACAAGAGTCTTTATTGCAAGCTTGAGCCTGGACTCACAGCCATTCCCAACACAGGGGTCCCAGGGAGTGAGCCCTGGTCCTTTTTTCAGTGAGATTTTATGTTTTGGGGGGATACTCTATGCGTCACAACATCACACAACAAATCATTCCATACCACGGGAAAATCAAACAGCAACTCTTAACATTGATTAGAACATTCAATGGCAGAAACAAGTTGAGTAGGGTGATTGGTTAACCAAGAGGGGGATTCCTTTGAACTGATTGGTTTAGGCCACGAGGGGTGTACATGCTAAACTACATGGTTTCCCAACGTGTTATCAACCACCATAAACTACTTGGGGGTCATCTTGCATTCCAGGCATTTTCCCTGTCTCATGCTGATTGAAGGTTGCTAGGGCAGTTGCTATGGGTCCTAGCCTGAGTCAGGGACACCTGGTGCCACAGACCTCTCCTGTTATTTATAGACAAACAACTCAGCAGGGTGGGTATGTGCTTAGGAGTGCTCTGTGGGTTTTTCCAAGGACAAAGTTCACTCCCCATTCCTTGGACAGGCTTTGCTCTGAGGTAGAGGCTTGTTTCTCAAAAATGGAGTCACATTAGTTTCTCATTCCACCCTTTGTCTAGAAACTTGGAACCAATCATGGTTCCCTCAGTTGGAGGTCTATATGGGCAGGCCTTACATCTTGGTAGGATTCTCCTTCTGAGTCTAGGGCTTGATAGTGGGTACACAGAACCTATATCTGAACTGTGTTTACTCTGTTCTTGATGAAAGCCACTAGCTTGTTCACAAGTGGTCCTACTAAGGTTGACACTAGAGTAAACAGTAACCCTCAGGGGACAGTCCTTAACTTTCCAAACTCAAAATTGGCCTCCTGACTCGATTTACCTATCTACACTGTCTATCTATTTCTGGCTTCATTCCCCCTTTAATTTTAGGAACTCCTTATTGCTGTAAGGAGAAGGGGCGATGGCTCGTTCTGGCTACTTCAGAGCAGATATAGGGCATCAAACATGAGGGGGCTCGACGTGGGAGACGACGTGGGGGACGTGAGTTCCCTTTTAGAAATCAGTTCAGTTTGAAGTCTGGTTGGGGAAGAACAGGTTGTAAAGTCATCTGGGGATGGGTGCTTCTATGAGAGAAACAAAAACCATGAGTACTGAATAAATGTTGCAGCAGCTGGAACATGTCACTGTATAGAAGTTCCCTCATCAGGCTCTAACATCCCCAGTTATCAGGACTGTAAAGATAACATTTAACTTTTAGTGTTACAGATGTCCTTCCCCATAAGATACAGTTTAATAATTTAATGTCATCTGATATTGCAAGATCCTTTTACTAGTATGACCTCTGTGTCTAATAGAGAAACCTTTAATTCTGGTACTCAGGGCTGGATAATCATACTAGCAAACACCAAGCCTACCTGTGTAGGATAGGAATATCTGTAGGCCTTAAACTAAAAACTTCTGTCTCTGGCAGCTCCTCTTGATAATTTCTTTTGATAATTATCAGGCATTCTTGCCTAAGAATCTCTTCTGTAGCCTCCAGTCTTACTTATTCTTGGGGGCTAACACAAGGTGTAAACCTTAAGTTACATTTAACTATTATTATTTAAAATGCCCAGGAATAGCTGTGTTTTGGTTTTAACTGTCTTTGCTAAGTGTTTAAGATGAAGCAAGTCAAACTGACTTTTGTTTCTATCTATTGTTAAAAGTCAGCTGAGTTTCCATGGGAATCCTGGGGGAACTTTGGAGCAGCTTTTCAGTTCTGCTAGTGCCATTTGCGATAGGATGGATCCAGGTCTTGCTTGACCATGTGGCTTCCCTTGGAAGCATCAGGGATGTCTCCCTTCTCCGGTGAGAAGCAAATGCACTGATTGGCTTTCTGTTCTCCAGTGGTCTCATTAATCTCCCTGATCGGAAGGTTATGTGGCCCAGAGTTGCAAAGCTCTTTAGAGAAGTCCCTTGCTCCCTGGATTCAGACTGACTCAGAGGGCAAGAGCCAAACATTGGTTTTCTTGGCCCTTTTAATTTAACTTTAATTTTAAA